GTGAGATATTTCTGTGCCAATAAAATTATTTGAATTTGATATTTGATATTTGAGCAGGGACAGTATTTACCTCCCTCCTACTTGACGTACGTGTGGACGCTCCGACTCTCAATTAAGGCCCGACAGCCAAATTTTGCCGCCCGAGCAAATCTAACGGCCATTGGCTTGAGCCAAATCAGGGACCGGTGATGAACACGGCTATCATGCACATAGCTGCCATTGTTTTGGTACATATCGGTAACGGTGACGCGGTCGCGCACGCCACTTCGTTTCAAAATGACAATGCCAGCTAGTGCTTAGCTTTGATGGAATCAAAGGCACAAATACATGGGTAAAGTTGTTGAAAGCTGTTCAAATAAGATAAGGTGGAGAGGTCTCCATGTAGATAAGATAAGTGTTAGAAAAGCCCGATACTTGCGTTTTGCCGATTCCATTTTTCAGTGCGGAACAGGGTGGTAAACAGGCGTAGTTCAGTTGGTATTTACAGCCGGACACAGTGTACTAAGGCCCTGCGGGCCAGTTAATTCGAACCGGCGCTTATAGTACTAGAGCATAGGCCTACGCCATGCATGGCCTATGCCTAACAGTAAACACTAACAAGCTAACAAAGGCCTACGCCAGGTTTGGCTTCAGTTGTTTCAACAATCACCACTTATTAGAACTTAAGACTTAGTGACGTAATTAGATCAAATACTTATTTAAATCTACTGAATAGTCATCCAATGAAGGAAACATGTGCTTAACCTAGCCTCTACGAGTGCTAGCCCCTTTCGCCCACCACCTTGTAAGTGCTAGTATGAGAAACAGTTGGTTACACTGGGTAGAGCCTAATTAACGCAGGAATAAGGTCTATGTCCCCCTGATCTCTGTTTTACCTGGCTCGCTTTAGCATTTCTGACTAATATATATAACTATATATCAGGAGCCGTAATAATGACCAAAGGAAGTAAAGAACAGGCGATTTGCGTACTGATTTCCACTACACCTTCCTCTATCGTACGAGTTCGACTGTGAATAAAAATACAAATGTATACAAACATGAGCCTTTCTTTTGTTCACTGGTCCTATTCCTATCTTCCCGGAGTATTACAAACCCGTAGCTTCCTTCGTTTTCCACATAAATCATAAACTTTTGCACCACATGGTTTCACGTATTTTACCGTTCGGCTGCGCTGAGGACACACTAAATTTGCCACACACAGCCTCGTCTCAATGAGCACGGTAGGGCTCTTCGGCCGTACGCCTAAGTCGACTGCAGAAAATTCGCCCTAGAAATTAAGTTGCGTTTGCACCCATGCTGGCTTATAAAAATTAAAACTATTTACATTTAAACTATAGTTAGAATGCCTCTGTGTTTATGGTTTTAATCCCGCATGTTTTTTTAAAAATAAAACCTGCCCTCGCTGGTATAAATATCTGAACACTGCACCCGCGGAAGGAATGATGTCGTATATGAAATTGCTTATGAGGAAAACTGACGCTCCAGCCGATTGTAGCTTTTCGCACATGCTGTTTTGCATAGGCAACCATATATCTCTAGGCCTGGTACAGCGCCGTGGCGCTGTCCTGACGCGATCCCTGCCGTGGTTCATGACGGAGCTTGTGGTGTTGCAAATTTAGAGTTGTGTCCTTCGCCAGCGGACTGTAAATAACGTTGAAAACCATGTCGTGGCAAAAGTTATGATTTTATGTTCAAAACGAAGGAAGGCTAGACCGTTTTGTAATACTACACGGAATAATAGAATAAGACCAGTGAAACAAAAAGATAGTTTTTTTTTCTTTTCATTCTTTGCTTATACATTTGTATTTTATTCACATCGAACTCGTACGACAACAGAATGTAGTGAATCAGTACCAAATCGGCTGTCTTACTCCTTTGTCATTAATACGCATTGCTTCTCCCTGCCTCCTTCTCCACCACCTTCTCCCTTCTCCCCCTCCTCCACCAGCGTCTCCCCTCCTCCTTCTCCACCAGCTTCTCCCTTCTCCCCCTCCTCCACCAGCGTCTCCCCGCCTCCTTTTCCTCCACCAGCTCCCTTCTCCCCCTCCTTCTTCCTTTCCTCTTTCTCCATCAGCTTCTCCCCTCCTCCTCCACCAGCTTCTCCCCCTCCTCCACCACCTTCTCCCCTCCTCCTTCTCCACCAGCTTCTCCCCTCCTTCTCCACCACCTCTCTTCTCCCCCTCCTCCTTCTCCAACACCTTCTCCCTTCTCCCCTCCTCCTTCTTCACCAGCTTCTCCCCCTAAGGAGGGGGAAAAGCTGGTGGAGAAGGAGGAAGGGGAGAAGGAGGGGGAGAATGGAGCTGGTGGAGGAGGAGGGGGAGAAGGGAGAAGCTGGTGGAGAAGGAAGGGAGAAGAGGAGGGGGAGAAGCTGGTCCACCACCTTCTCCCTTCTTCCCTTCCTCCTCCACCAGCTTCTCCCTTCTCCACCATACTGATACGCCCGAAATGCCAATAGACCGCGTAGCGCCATCTGGTGGTGGCGTTTGCAAGTTAATTTACGATGCTAAACTTGATGTTTACCGGTAGATGGTACCTTTGGTGGAGGAGAGGCTCAGAAGGTAGTGGGATAGAGAAATGTTATTAAAACTTGTTTTGAAAATCATATTTGCCTTGGAGCTGCCACACTTGGTGCCCTTCCAACTTGCTGCCATTTCCTGAATTTAAACCTAAGACAAAATTGGTCTTTCTCGCAAAAGATATGTATTCGAACCTGCATTACTGATTACTGACAATTATTGTATTTTTCTACAGCAATAGATCTGTACGATCCAGTTGTTAATGAGATGGTGAACATTGGCTTGCCACTACCAAAAGAAAACAAAGAAAAATTGAAAGAACTGAAGAAGGCGATTATAGATGGAAGAAGGGCAAATCATCTGTTGGAGCAGGCAGCTCGACATCGCACGTGTGAGTGAGAGCATTTACCTTCAGAGCATTCATACATGTGTAGTTTACAATATGGCTTATAGCCATATATGATAAAAAATAACCCAGGTCATGCTTCTACATTTGGACACAACATGTGTGTCAACAGACATGTGAGGAATCATCGTTACCTTGATCAAATGATGAAAGCAGAAAACAATCAGCATTAAATGCACATAATAATACACTATCTGTACAGTAATGTTAGGCAAATATCTCAGATAATAATAAAAGACTAAACAGTTTATGTTTCTTCTTTTTAACTGTTGCTACACATATAATGAAGGTGCACAAGGAGTAATCATTAAATGAGAAATTTTTCCAGGGATAAATTTTGCGTGAAGCAGCTGTATTGCATGATATATTGTCTGTTTTGTAGAATCAGTATTCTGCTACCACGTCTGATGTCAGATGACTGTCATTTTACAATTATTTTATTTTAACTATTTCAGTGAAAGTAGATATTGATCAATTGGAAAATGACATGAAAGGATCAGCATTTAGCAAGCATGTGAGGACCAGTGCAGAACACTATGGTGTATACAAGGATCTGTTTGGTATGTATACTCACCTTGGCATTTATGATATGTTGAAAAATTTTGTGTAAAATTAACATGGATTTATTATCTATTATCATCAGGCCTCTTTTAACCAAGTTGGTAAAATTAAACAATGATTAAGATTTCTTCCTTGATAAAAGATGTTAATTATTTAATGTGTGCATACATAGAAATAAAAATAATTATATGCAATTTATGTAGTGAATAGAAATTTTTTTATTTTTTTATTCCTACTTATAATCCCTTCTCTAATATCCATGTGCACACAAATTGTGGGTCACATTCCTGAAATGTTGCCTTGTTAATGACAGTATTGCAAAATTTTATTTGAATCAAATAAGCAGAACATGGTATGACCCTATATGCATGTAAACGTGAGCATAGCTATACAATTATTATATACGATATACATAACGTTGTATATATCTGTATGGCATAAAGGTATGGGATTTCGATCTTTGCTCAGTGCCAGTTGTGATTCATGTTACAGGTCCTCATGCATACTTTAATCCAGCTGTTGCTCTGAGCATTGCATTTGACTATGACGATGATGCAGTGTCGCATGTCTTTAATGGGAATATGTTAAAGCCTGCTGAGGTGAGTGTATTATCATTTACACACATGAACCTATATATCAGGAGTACATAAGAGTACATATATGTATATATCAGGAGTGGGTACTCAGTTAGCATAGTTCTGATAGTCTTGGGAGCAATTCAACATTTAAAATGTAATTTATGTATATAATCTATACTCTTTCATGTTGATTTTTTATTAGATGGGTTATATGGAACCAATACCTTGTTATATGAGATTAAATTGTAAAATTTTGCTAATCATGTAACATATGTGTATATATATATATATATATAATTTCCACCAGCTGATGTAGTTGTTGGCTTGCCTTATAGTGCGTATCAGCACCACACATCCATTATGAAGCAGAGAAAGACACTTTGTGGTCCATTGTTCTCACTGCCCCTGACAGCCATCTAGCAGACAACAAAGCTGAGTATCTGCACTGGTTTGTGTAAGCATCAGGTTGCACTAGCTCCACCTATATAGCTCTGCACTGTGACACAGGGCTAGTCTACCTATGTGGCCCTTCACTTCGCCATAGGCCTTGCTCTACCTGTGCAGTCCTTGACTCTGCCACGCGCCTTTGTGGCTCAGTGGTTAGGCCACGTATACTGTCCACTGAAGGCTATGAGTTCAAACCCCGGCCGGGGCAGTGAATTTTCTCAAGGTGTAAAAACCTGGGGCCCGTTGTCAGAAACAAAATTAGTCCTAACATTAGTCTTAACATTAACTTCCACTCGTAAACCGTTGACAGAAACATCGCAAAGTTACAAGAATGAAAAATCCTCGAAAATATCCTCTTAACATTACGGGAGCCCAGACCCTCTCATAACTTTAATATTAAGATGAAAATAACACATTTACACTACGAATTACAATTATAGTGATATTATATTTTATAATAATGAATAAAATGTGTTTTTCCTGAAAAACGTCAAAATCATTAATTATCTACCGATCATAAAACAAAACAAAACATTTACAAATGGCATTTGTTTTCTTGTTTTAACTACTTTGCCACTTGCCACGACTCTCGCGTCTCGTGTTACAGTGTGAGAATTTGTCTTGTTGTGCAGAATAAATTCATGACCACATCGTTTTTCATCAAATACTCTGGCTGTGAGTGACCACCCTCAGTGCCATTCAGCTAAAAAAGGCTAACTACCTGGCTTTACCCAAGCTAGCTCACACCCCATGGCTATAGCTATATAGCCCTGGTTGTTTATTCCTTACAGACTGTCCAGTATAGAAGTAGTAGTAGAAGCCTAGATCTACCCATGTAGCCCCTCACTCTACCACAGGCCTAGCTACACGTAACACCTATGTAGCCCTGCACTCTAACACAGGTCTACCTCCTGCACTAATACATGTAACAGTAAACTTATGTAATTTTCATAATTCATGTTTCAATGCCTCGCTTACAAAACGAAAAAGGAGGAAGTGTCAATTTCCATCTGGTACTTTATTGATATGCGAAATTGTATTAAAAAAATATTAAAGTTGACAGTGTTGTAGTCTAAATTAAATTCTTATTCATCACACTGTAATTATCATAATAATATTGCCGGCAGCTGTGTGTAGCGTACAGCAACGTGTGATGACCGCGTTTCATCTGGGGCTCACGAGACATAGTAACTTACTGCTGTGTTACTGCTTCAGGGGGAACATAGAGGGCAGCACCATAGACACTGGAGAATTGTTATGTGACTTTCTGCAGCCGTTACCTCTGCGTGGGACAGGGTGGCATAGATACGTGTTTGTGCTCTACAAGCAGGAGCGCAGGATTGACTTTGCTTCCGAAAAGCGCACACAGCCATGGTTAGTCTGGCCCCTTACGAGAATTTGATTACTTCATAAAATTATTAAGAAGATCCCCCCCTTGCTGTGTATGTTCAGTAATATTTGTGGGTTTCCACGTCTTGCTGGACTGTTACTGTCTTCATGTGGATATATCCATGTTTGCATGTTCTTGTTTCTTGTATGTATGTGTGGGGGTACCTCATGGACATCTTTATTGCTATATTGCAGTAAGAGTTTAAAAGAACGAACATTTCACACATACGATTTCTACAAGCGTTATGAAGATGACATAACGCCGGCTGGAATAGGATTTTTCCAAGCTGACTGGGATTCTTCAGTGTCGGATATATTCCATAAAACATTAGGTATCTATTTTTATGCCGTATGCTGTGTATTCGCTAACTATCGGCATGTCAGAACCCGTCGGACAGACTTATACACACAGGGCATGAATTTATGGGGTAAAAATATATTTGGGTAAGTAGTAACATTCTTGGTGTCTTGGTAAAGTTTTTACGAATTAGTTGTTGGTGTTGTAGATTTTGTCATCTGCCAGATCCCTGGTGTGATGCAAGCATCTCCCTATCTTATTACTTTCAAACTGCTACATAGAGAGATAACTAACGATGAATCTGTTATGAGATTAATGAGATGTGGAATTATGAATTCTCATCCAAGCAAGTTGAAATGCGTGATTAGATATTGGATTTTTATTTCACAACAATGATCACATGGTTGTTGATGCTGCTTCAGATATGAAGGAGCCAGTGTATGAATTTGACAGCCCGCCTCTGCACATAGCGATTCAGAGGCAGGTTCCTCACAAGCAACCATTCAATCTGTGAGTATGCCTGTCGTAGCATCACCAATCGTTGCTGCTAAATACAGTCGCTGGCTAATGCACAACATCAAAATTCATCATAGCTTCACATATATATATATGTTCAAGCTATGGTGAATTGTGATGTTGTGCATTAGCCATCAACTGTATTTAGCAGCAATGATTGGTAATGATTATATATATATATACGAGATCTATCAGTATAAGCAGGGGTATAAGTAAGCATCCAGTTCTGAGCAGCATCACGTATGTGCTTTACCTTCACTTGCAGCTATCTGGACCGATACAGGGACCCCAAGGATATTGCGAAAGAGGTTTTGACAAAGAGATTCAGTGACAGGTCTCCATTCTCGGGCGAGCCGCGGCGGCGCCAGTTCCCCGGCATCATGCCGTGGAGCTCGCTGAATGATCGCGACCCACTGCTGCCATCGTGGAGGAAGGCGCAGATCCAGAAGGAGCGAGACGGGCGACAACGCTACCGACACATTTACGAAAACAGGCCAGGCCCCTGAGTTCATATGTCAAATGCACTGTCATCAGGGCCATTCTAGAAAGAAGCTAGATGGGTCACTGTGTGCAACCATTGCATCATCAGAAACTGGCCGGGACCCTGGGTTTGCACACCAATGTGCAGTCACAAGAGCCAGTTTAAAACACAAATGTGAGTAAACGTCATTGACGTGTGGATATCATGATTTTATGTACGTGTAATAAATAAAACGTGGTGTGTATGTGCAACACTGCTGCATGAATTATGTTGATGTATACTCTGACAATCTTAGTCAAGCAGTGGAACTAAAAGCTGCACAAATATTTTCAAGGTTATACCTACCTTCTATGACATATTTTGGATTGGAATATGCTTAAAATCACCTCCATGTAGCAATCTATCCCACTGAAAGCATGTGCAAAACAGTTTGCAGCAACAGAATTCAACACCTAGCTGGAAATGCAGTGCAGCTTAACGTACAACCAGGGTGAACATTCAGGCAGAGTGGAGTTTCAGTTAATGTGTACGTACAACCAAGGTAAGTAATTTTTCATGAAGTTAGTTCACATACAGGTTCGGTAATTTTCCAAGTTTGTCGCGCGTATTTGGTAAGCGAGGAATAACATCAACAGCACCATGCGTCCTTGCATAAACAAGTAGACCGACTGTGCAGGATTTAGACTGACGGTGTGTACCAGCACTACATTTCTGGTCTACTTACATGTTGACCAGCGGTTTTGTATGCATCCACTGGGTTCCGAATAAAACGAAATAGTTTTTAATACAGGTTGCAGCTTTCGATGGTTATAAAATGCAAGGTTATGTACGAATCTGATTATTTTAACTTGAGGGATCAATTAATTGACATCTGTTATATATATCTAATATATTAACACCATGTATCTCAACAATTTGTTTGTTTTTTTGCAAAACTTGGAGGCATTAGGTCTTGGTGCCATATAAAGTAGATTATATTAGATTTTAATCAAGGTTTGCAGAAACACCTGCTGTTATTATAAATATTTATTACAAATAGTTAAAAGGGTATGGTGTTTATAAACTTAATGTATGTGAAATAGATGAACACACAAACACAAATATATACACTTCTGATTTCCATAAGGAATGTGAAATGTGAAAAATGAGAAATGTGAATAATCACTTGAAAAATGGAGTAGTTGAATGTTTTATTTAAATAAGCAATCAACGTGTGATTTACAATTCGTTATCCATTCGCGATTCGTTTTGCCGTAATCATCACATCAACGCTCGTTGCAACGTCTCCAATTCCGATATGATGAACATCTGTACAAGCTTCTCAATGTCGCGACAAGGTGACGCCACCTGCTTGATCATCGCCTGTTTAAAGTCTTCGCTGGCATTCTGCTTGACTCCGCGTGTGAGCGCACGCTTGCTTGCAATCTCCGCCTGACTGATCGGTAGCAGATCGATGACGACGTTAGGATGGTGTTTCCAGAGAAATGCAAATTCCTCCAGCACATCAACGTTTGTCACGTAATTGAGGAATAGTTTGTACGTGAAGCACGCTCGCTGCACGATGCAGTCAATGATATAGATGAACGTGTCAGCTTCCATCGGCCAGTTCCACTGAAGCATCACCAGCGTGCTGCTGAGAAGAGCATCGCTTTGCTGCCCACAGGTGGAGCTACCGTACAGTCTCTTCTTGAGGCAGGTTGTGAGCAGGAGCACGCAGTAGTCCAGCACGTTCTGTCTACTTGTGATTAACAAATGTAGATGGCGCCGGGGTCCAGGTTGAGAGAGCATGTTGGTGGTCTGTGAGCGGTTAGACCGTTGAACTGCATCATAATTAAAATTCGTGTATTAATTAGTATGTTTGCATTTTAATGAAGTTAAGATTTTATTTACAAGCCACAAACGAGTTTTTTTTTATAATTTGTTCAGAGACTACATATTTAACGTATGGTGAAATCCATCGATTGCTAGCAAAGAGATTGAGTATAACTCCTTGAATATAAATTCATGTTAAACACTGAAATGATTAGAAATATGCATCACCGTGCTTTAGCAAGTACATATATATAAGTGATAATAGGATTTTATTTATTCTAATCAGCTCTCAACTTTATCTACCCTATCTGGTTTCCTCAGATTAGTAATGTTGGAGAACTATACCTTGTTGTTGTTGTTCCTGAGTAGAGTTTAAGGTTTGTAAAATCTCAGCCGTGCAGCTGGAGCACTGCACATAGTTGTTCAACATGTAGTAGCAGCTGGCTTTCTGTAGATTACACCTGCAGACATACACAGCAGTAAGCTCATATATATATAGATTGAGAAACACCATGGAACCCAACATTTCTTCGAGCCACACCTCAGTTACACTAGCTAGATAAGATTAAACCCCCAGATCTGTCTGCAATGTCTTGTAAGTTCACCACTACTACACTTTATTTGGTTACATCAACATGGAACAATAACAACCAGACACTAGTTACTGTTAGAGAGTGACACTCTCTCCCTCCTACATGTATGCATAAATAATAATATTTCAGGTTGCAACAGACATGCATACAGATACATTTCCATGCAATAATTTTGCGGTTTACATCTATAAATCCATCCACCATGACAGATATATCTCATCAAAATGACAAAGATTCACCTTGAATCATCAGGCCTGATATCAACCACTGTATATAATATAATTGGACACTCGCTATGCTTACCCTCCTGTGACCCAAGCACAGAGCAATGACGAGTTACTACATTGCCACCTGATGTAGAGTGGGACCAGCACCACCTACCTGATGCTCCAGGTAGTTGATTCATCTTGTTGTAGTTTCTGAATAGCTTCAGTATACATGCCCTCATACATCAATAACTCCACCTGTGGACAAACACTTTCTTAAATGGGAGGTTTTCAATATGGTTGGATGTGGTTATGTTACATCCATTGGTAGAACATTAAGTTAGAAAAACTCACTGCATGTTAACACTGGGCAACTAAACTGTGCAGCAAGAAAAGTGCGTGGAAATATTTCACCGATTTATTTCGCATTTATAATCATTTTCCAAATGTTTGGTTGCATACGATTGAAACTGATGCAACCACGTTAAAATGTATTTGCATAGGATATCCCACGATTGCAGCATCAGTTTATAAGATCTTGGCTGTGATTGTGTGACTACATGCCTGGAAGGTCTGCAGCCAGTGCCAATTGTCCGTCTTCCATATCTGGCATATACGAGTAAAGTCCTTGCGGAGGCAGTCGTTACCATGGAGAAGTTCCCAGCATCTCACTGCAGTAGTGAAGCTCTGAAGAAGTGAAGTGAGCAATGAGAGAATATATAGACACAACAAAAGGACGATCGCACGAATCCTCATCAAATGGCAGCATCGACTGAAGAAATTCCCACATTGAACGACTGCAGCTGACAATGACTCTACGCAGTGCAAAATGCACGGAGTCATGTATAAACGTATAACGCGAGTGTTTAATGATCAGCAATCATTCCATCACATAGATCCAGGTGATCATTTCTACGAGAACACAACAATAAGACCAGTCGGCATGGTAACGGCACTCCCACGGTGTGCGTGGCGAGCCGTTGTCACGACGACCACATGTACCATGACAGTGTTTGCCGCGCTGTGATTGGTGTCGCTGATCGTGACAAGCGGCGTCATGTGATGCGAGGCGCTCAGCTTCCTCTTCTTAGATTCCTGCTGCTCAGTGGCGCTCTCTGTCTGAAACCTGCAACATACAGCATAGTTTCTACAACTCTCACTTGCCACTCTGCTACTAGAGGGCAGCTCCACTGCATAACTCACGGTCACTGCCGCTAGAGGGCAGCTCCACTGCATAACTCACGGTCGCTGCTACTAGAGGGCAGCTCCACTGCATAACTCACGGTCACTGCCGCTAGAGGGCA